ATACAACAGTATTTCAGCACAGTTATAATGTAAAAACTGTCAAATGTGTACAAAAATTGTACAAAAAACTGTAAAAATTAATCATGACTTCCTCTACTCGAAATGTTTTAGAAAATATGTTATTCTGACTTCCGATAGCAAATAAAATCCCCTTCGTTCGTAGACTCCATGATGTCACCTCTTTGAGTGCGACGTTTTTTCAACAAGGAGTAATGGAAGACATCAAATTAAAATGCCTTCGGGCGGGTGTGTTTTTACATTTTGMCGAAGAATTCATTTAAAAAACATACAGATTACATGTAAAACCAAGTATGMCCGACCACAATCTCTACAACAATTAGATTGAACTCTAATTTGAGTCAATTGCCTAGAAAAATGAATGGAAATAAATGTAAATCGTGTAGGATGTTTGTACACTTCGAAACCAGTCTGACCACAATCACAAGTAGTTAAATGGAATCTAATTCGAGTATCAATTTTATGGCTTGGGAAGGAAAAGAATGGAACCCAGGAGCGGATCCAGTATAAAAAGGGAGGGCCGTCGATAAAAATGGCGGGAAATTGTCGCGCGGGAATTTGTTTTGTTTCCTCAACTTATCGTATGCTATCGAAAATACAAATGATGAATAAAAATCGGTGAAAATTAAATGTATCGAGGGCTATTTTATTTTTCTTATTTCATTTTTAGCTCTTACATAATATTATTATATAATACTTGGGGGTGGGAGAGTTGGGTGCGGCTCCTTCTCCCCCGAAATCCGCCCTTGGAACCACATAGTACGTGTAATGCCTGTACTCTTTGGAAGCACCCCCAGTCAAAATATAGAGATTGAAAGATTAGAAAGTATTGACCACATCCGCATAGGAATCTCAGTTTTAATTTGTATCAATCTGATAAAAAGAAACAGAACTAAATGGACTTGAGGATAAAATGAGRTGTTTGTATACTTCAGAATTACCCCCTAAGTCAAGATGTACAAAGATTTAGTTGCAGATTGGGTAGCGCACTTCGGTTGTGGTCAAGGGCCAAGGTCGACCGGCATTCCTTGCGAGCTTTTGTCTATGTTTGAAAATAACACTACATCGATTTAAACAGAAACTTTCTCTTTATTATCCCTTTATGCTCTATGAATGGAGATATTATAAGATTCGGCCTTAAAACCGACGGATGGAAACGGATTGCGAATGGATATTTGAAAATACATGAAAAATCTAATCACTACCGCACTGAATGCCGGTCAACCATGGTCCTTTAAACTCAATTTTAAAATCAKTAGAATCAAGAAATAGTAACAAATGGTCTTTATTGGAACTGAAACAAAATGAAATCACATAGAATGATATGAAATACCTGTACAAGAGTTGTGGTAATCTTCCCAACCGCTTTTGCGGTTGGTGGATACCAACGAAACTAATTACGATTGAAAGACCACAGAATCTTGCTAGCGTTAATTAGACACTTAGCCGAGAACTACAAGACTTACGAGAATACATAGAGCTTATAAGTATCACAGCACTGAAAATGTTAATAAACAACAATCTTATTTCTTTCGTCCACCACGCTCTTTGAGTTGTAGTTGTACAATACTGCTTGGCGAAAAATTATAGTACGCGAGAGAATTGGAATCTTTGATGAAAATACCCTGGAAAAACAACAAGAAAGCAATGTCAAGGACAAGAAACAGAAATATATGTATGACGGGGCGCAACAACAACAGCAACAACAACAACAGCAACAACAATAACAGCAACAACTATAACAAAGAAAAACAACAAAGAAAGCAATAACAAGGACAAGTGCAACACAAATATATGTATGACAGGGCGCAAGAAACAACAGCAACAACAACGACAACAGCGACAGTTAACAACAGCGAAAGCAAAACAATAACAACCACAACAGCATCATCATTATCAACAACAACAACAACAGAAGCAGCAAACAATAGAAACAGCAACAGCAACAACAGCGACAATAAAGTAACGACAAATGTTAGGCGGTTGTGTATTGGAAGACAAAGTAAGTTTCGTTGTTTGTTTTGAACCAGACTCGATAAGATACGTACCCCAAGCTGCAGTTTTTGTTTGCCAGCAGGCATACCAGTAGCGTCATGAATCTTCGCCTTAATGACAGAAACCTAGGAAAAAAAACATGTTTTGTTTTTTATTTGGGCATAAAAACATTTTAAACAACTAAACAAGCAGGACTTAACTACTGTAAATAATAGCCGAGGTTCGCTTTTTGGAAGCGCTCAAACTGGTTCAAATTTTTACCACGGGAGTGGAGCTTGTTGGCCGCGCGCGTCAAATCAAATTGCAAAAGCGCGGGAATTTACAATTATAAAAGATCTACACATTAAACAATGTCAAGAAGAACAGGAGACTTGGACCGTATCTTAAACGTACAATGTTTTTTTAAAAATTTCATCATAAGAAAGAGTATATCTAAACCAGTCCATTGTCGGAGTCCTAGTTTACGTGTTAAATATTCACAAAGCTTTGAAACCCCCCCCCCAAAAAAAACTAAAACCCAAACCAAAAACCCAAACCAAAACAAAACAAAATGAGGCTGGTSAGGAATGAAGTTACAACTGTAATTTCCGGTCCTTAAATTCATAGTACCGACTTGTTCGTATGTATGGGCTRAATTCTACGATCTCTCCGTATCCACCACACCAATGAGGTCATTCGACAAAACAGAGATTAAATTTACAGTACATACCTGGTCTGTGGGGGGTAGGGTAAGGCTGATTGGTTTCCCATCGAGTTTCCATTCACTCTTATCGGGCATGCCAGGAATATGAACAGTAAACGTCACTGGGTTAGGATTCGTCCTCAAGAACACCTCCTCTGGGAT